ATACCACACCCAACAAATATTAGTGATTTTTGGGGTCTATTATTTTGAGCAGGGATCGTACTCGGTCATAGCCGTTCCGCTCCGCGGACGTTCATATAGTGACTTCAGCTACCAACCACACGACTTGTTCGTCATACACCTGTGGGTACGTGCTATGCCTATGCTGCAGACACTAATTGTGCGGTGAGCACACTGCCTAGAGACATATTTTAACATTCTTTGCGCACTGACGGCGTCGGCTCTCTTTCCGTCTATCTTTTATATATTATCTTTATATTATCAAATATGAGAACGTTTTACAAAATCGTAAACAAATTTAGCTAAATTTGGGGGTTTGGGGATTAACTTGCAAATAGGAGTTTATATTACCGTGTGATAATGTGAAGCAGTAGATGCATGAAAAACAACTTATTTGATAGAGACACGCAAATAAAAACAGCAATAGCAAAATTATCATGAAAACAAATCAGTAATTAAAGGGACCATAATTTGCACAGTGTTTCGCATCTGCCTACTTAGATATCCATTCTGCCCTGTGTAACAATCATGTCGCTTTTACGATTACATTGCATAGTAGAAATTTGCAATACATCCCCGTTTACGCCGAAATGTGAGTGCTTTCCACCGTAAACGGTGCTGTGGTTTTCCATAACACAACCCCATCAAATCACTAGTGAGAAAACATGCTGTATATGCTGAATCATATTTGGACGTCACTTGGTGTGTACTTACAGTATTTTGCCTCATGTTGAATTTTACATTTTAATTTATGTATACATTGTATTAGTAATTTCAATATGTGACTAACAATTTTATCACATATCACAAGACGATCAGGTGATTGCAGTATGACTTTTGCGAAGGCAGTATCTAAATGAATAAATGTGAAACATTTGTGTGACTCGTAACTCGGAGGATACTATAATAGCATCTTGTATATCGCGGTAGTTATCGTGCAGACTGAGCGCGCTTTCGAATTATGTGTAAACAAAGTATTTTACACGCGTTGTGCAAGTCGTGTGGGTCGCACGTCGAACAATAAGGTTTTAAAACAGATAATGTGGCTGCATTTAATAATGTAATATTTGAGAACTTCAAATACCTTTTTATTATAGACACATAGTTACATAGTTGGTATGCTGGAAGCCGTGGAAACTGAATGACTGGTCCCCAAGCTACATACTAGTAGTTGATAACAATTTATACTGATTTCCGATAATTTCTTTTACTTTCAAAACGTTATCTTACGTAGTTTCCTGACCGCTGTCTGACCACTTTTGCACGGCAACCGGGTGAATATATTAGCTACTATGCAGGACTCCAAACGTTTACGCAACTGGATACTTTATGGGGTACAAAGTCACTATCAATTGGAATTTCTCAATTCGCCCCCCTCCAAGGAAATGCATGCAATGGTCGTTAAAGTTAAAAAAAAATTAGCTTGGCGTATATTATTGGAAATTACTTCTCGTATGATAGTAAGTAGTAAGTCAACAGTACAGAATGTGCAAGGATGTGTGACAGTGAAACATGCTCTCATACTTACTGTCATGGCAATCACAAGATTTGATCATACACGTGAGTATTTATCTCAGTCACAAACCCTGCTCTATGTTGAACACTGCATTACGGTGTTTATGTACACAGCGTCAAATGTAGAAACACCATCACCAACGAACGTTACGCGTGTATATA